GTCTCTTAACTCATCATCCATTTCCTCCCTGACATGGTGGTAAATCCCATAAATCATCCTCTTGGAACTGGAACTGAAAAATCATAAGTAATCACTTGGAATTGATCACAAGCAGCAAATATATAATGCAAACAAGGTGATCCTTGCTGTATCTTTCCTCACACACATAGTCAAAGTGATCAAATATATTTGAGTTATAGCCCATTAAAGCCTTTGGATTTGTCTGGCTCCGAGATTCTATTAAGCACAAGCCACTTATAAGTTTCAAATTAAAGTATCTGACAATCTTCACAGATATAAATGCTTAAGCTTGATAATGCCTTTATTTAACAGCAAGCTAACTTTCTCCAGGAACATTGGGAGGGGGGCAATAGGATGCCTCATGTGCATTCAGCCACACAAAGGAGCTCCTGGTTCTGCCGGTACCATTTGAACTCAATACAGAGATTGTTTTTATAGTTTTTACTGATAGGCAAATCACATGTTACTGTCACCGTAACAATGAAGCTCAAAACATCAGTGTAGGATGGTTATTCTTTGTGCAATTTGTAAAAATTTGCAAGTGTTCTTCTACATTTATCAGTGTTCTTTTCTTGTACGTTTTATTTGATCTAATTTTTTTTCTTTCTAGTTACAAAAATGTGTATTTTTGGTAAGTTCACATAAACAACAAACTAAACTAAATTAGCCATCTGTCCAGGCCAGTACTGTGTCAGCCTGCCTATTAAAGATAAGAAAACTGCCAGATAGTTCAGTGGTTTAAGGATCTGGCTGTGGAGCCAGAAGGTTGGGGGTGTGATTCCCTATTGTGTCTCCTTCGCAGACCTCAAGGGCCTGTAGGGTCTTTTTCAGTTTAGCAATTCTAAGATGATGATGATCTATCAAAAAAGGAAGGTTGTTTTCCGAACTGAGGGCACACATACATAGCAAGAAAAGTGTGAATGTATCTGCAGTGAAGTAGCACCAAGGAAGTTAGGTTTCTCCCAGTGAATTCTCTTTAGCTGACTGCACAGGAGTCAACAAGAAGAGAGTTGTTGTTTAGTCACTAAGTCGTGCCCAACTCTTTGTGACCCCATGGACCAGAGCACGCCGGGCCCTCCTGTCTTCCACTGCCTCCCAGAATTGGGTCAAATTCATGTTGGTAGCTTCGATGACACTGTCCATCTATTTTGTCCTCTGTCGTCCCCTTCTCCTCCTGCCTTCACACTTTCACAACATCGGGGTGTTTTCCAGGAAGTCTTCTCTTCTCATCAGATGGCCAAAGTATTGGAGCATCAGTTTCAGGATCTGCCATTCCAGTGAGCACTCAGAGTTGATTTCCTTCAAAATGGATAGGTTTGTTCTACTTGCAATCCAGGGGACTCCCAAGAGTCTCCTCCAGAACCACAATTCAAAAGCATAATTCTTTGGCAGTCAGCCTTCATTATTGTCCAGCTCTCACTTCCATACATCACTATGGGAAAAAACATAGCTTTGACTATGCAGACCTTTGTCGGCAAGGTGTTGTCTCTGCTTTTTAAGAAGTTGTCTAGGTTTCTCATCGCTTTCCTCCCAAGAAGCAGGTGTCTTTTAATTTTGTGGCTACTGTCAACATCAGTAGCGATCATGGAGCCCAGGAAAGTAAAATCTGCCACTACCTCCATATCTTCCCCTTCTATTTGCCAGGATGTGATGGGACCAGTGTCCATGATCTTAGTTTTTTTGATGTTGAGCTTCAGACCATTTTTTGAGTTCTCCTCTTTCACCATCATTGAGAGGTTCTTTAATTCCTCCTCACTTTCTGCCATCAGAGTGGTATCATCTGCATATCGGAGGTTGTTGATATTTATTCCAGCAATCTTAATTCCGGTGTGGGATTCATCCAGTCCACTTCATTGCATAGTCAATGAAGCAGAAGTAGACGTTTTTCTGGAACTCTCTGGCTTTCTCCAAATTCCAGTGCATGTTAGCAATTTGGTCTCTAGTTCCTCTGCCCCTTCGGAACCCAGCCTGTACTTCTGGGAGTTCTCAGTCCACATACTGCTGAAGCCTGCCTTGTAGGATTTTGAGCATAACCTTGCTAGCATGTGAAATGAGTGCAATTGTATGGTAGTTGGAGCATTCTTTGGCACTGCCCTTCTTTGGGATTGGGATGGAGACTGATCGTTTCCAATCCTCTGGCCATTGCAGAGTTTTCCAAACTTGTTGGCATATTGAGTGTAACACCCTTACAGTGTCATCTTTTAAGATTTTAAATAGTTCAGCTGGAATGCCATCACCTCCACTGGCCTTGTTGTTAGCTGTGCTTTCTAAGGCGCACTTGATTTCACTCTCAAGTTTGTCTGGCTCTAGGTCAGCAACTACTGTATATTGTCTGGGTTGTCCGGGATATCCAAAACTTTCTGATATAATTCCTCTGTGTATTCTTGCCACCTCTTCTTGATGTCTTCTGCTTCTGTGAAGTCCCTTCCATTTTTGTCTTTTATCATGTCCATCTTTGCACAAAATTTTCCTCTAATATCTCCAATTTTCCTGAACAGATCTCTGGTTTTTCTCTTTCTATTATTTTCCTCTATTTCTTTGCACTGTTCATTTAAGAAGACCCTCTTGTCTCTCCTTGCTATTCTCTGGAAGTCTGCATTCAATTTTCTATATCTTTCCCTATCTCCCTTGCGTTTTGTTTCCCTTCTCTTCTCTGCTATTTGTAAGGCCTCATTGGAGAGCCACTTTGCTTTCTTGCATTTCCTTTTCGTTGGGATGGTTTTTGTTGCTACCTCCTGTACAGTGTTATGAGCCTTCATCAATAGTTCTTCAGGCACTCTGTCCAACAAATCTAGTTCCTTAAATCTGTTCTTCATTTCCACTGTGTATTCATAAGGGATTTGGTTTAGATTATACCTGACTAGCACAGTGGTTTTTTCTACTTCCTTCAGTTTAAGCTTGAGTTTTGCTATAAGAAGCTGATGATCAGAGCCACAATCAGCTTCAGGTCTTGTTTTCGCTGACTGTATAGAGCTTCTCCATCTTTGGCTGCAGAGAATGCAATCAATCTGATTTTGGTATTGCCCATCTGGTGATATCCATGTGTAGAGTCACCTCTTGTGTTGTTGGAAAAGAATGTTTGTGATGACCAGCTTGGTCTCTTGACAAAACTCTATTAGCCTTTGCCCTACTTCGTTTTGAACTCCAGGGCCAAACTTACCTGTTGTTCCTTTTATTTCTTGACTCCCTACTTTAGCATTCCAGTCCCCTATAATGAGAAGAACATCTTTCTTTGGTGTCAGTTCTAGAAGGTGTTGTGTAAGTCTTCATAGAATTGGTCAATTTCAGCCTATTCAGCATCAGTGGTTGATGCATAAACTTGGATTACTGTGATGTTAATCACAGTTTGGCAATCCAACCAAACCCTGACATTCTAATCACTACAACTCCCTCTCTCTCTCTCTCCCTCCCTCCCTCCATCCCTCCCTCCCTTCCATCCTTCCTTCCTTCCTTTCTTGATTCTTAATCCTGTTTTGAGATATTACAAAGCTTTCTGGATAACATTGTCTTTTCTATCTGGAATGACCTGTTAACAAGATGTTTGCTTTATTCCTTTATTGAGCTCTATTGCTTTCTGTCTTCTGGCATCCTTGACTCTGTCTTCCCTTGTGCTTTAGCTGTCTCTCAGAATAAAGCAAAACATTTAAAAGCCTGATGTCAGAAGTGAACAGCTTTGTGAACAAAAATGCATCGGGGATTCTTTTATTTATTTAGGAATAGGCATTTATTTTTCAAAACAGTAAATAATAACTTGAATCCCCGGGTTGAAAGTAGGAAGAGCATGGGTCATAAATACTGCAGATCAAGTGGTGCCAGGTGAGTTTTTACACAGTTTTTCCATTTGCCACCTTTTCCTAGCCCAACCCAAGTGAGTCTGCAGTTTATTTAGAAGAAATCAAGACAGAATGAACTACATCATTTCATCTCTATAGTCTGATTGCTTTTGTTCCTTCACTTGACATGTCATGACATCTTGAGAAAGCCTGACAGAATACAGCAACATATTTTGCTTAATGTCTCCTTTATTATGAGCCAAGCTAGAGAAAGGTATAAACATGAATATGCTGTCTGGGAAATTATGGTTCTGATGCCCCAAACAGATTTACATTTGAAAGAACATTACTAACACACCCCTGTGGAGATGTTTCTCAGAGAGCAAATAGTGAAATGGGAAACCAGCACAGCTTTTACCTGAGAAAACCATTTATAATATTTGTTAACAAGAGGTGGGGGAAAAATCCTTCCATATTCTCACTGCAGGCCTTCATAGCTGGGTAGTGTTAACATTGCTTCTGCCAGCATAAAGGGAATTGTAGTAAGTCTTCCAAGAATGGAGAGCTAGTTTCATCTTGTTTGACACATTGTTTCCTGATAAGAGCTTCTGGGAAAATACTTCAGTTTTCTTGTCAGACAGAGCTTGCTGAGTTGCCAAGAGAGACCCTGAACCCATAGGCTTCTGGCAAGAAAAAACAGAGGATCCAGTCTAAGAGCGGAGGAGGGGGATTGGTTGCAAGATGGATGGATGGAGCCTAGTGGCAGGTCTGTGAAATGTGGGCAAATACTGGTATGAATAGAAATCAAATATGTCTTTGGCAACACTTGAGAAAGGAGGGAAAACTTAAGCAGAATTCACCCTTGCCTGCTTGGCTGTTTATTTCTACCAGTATTATTCAACAGACTGCATTCTATAGTGTTCTGTTTCAAGCCATGTGTTGCTGTTTTTGAGACTGCTCACTCAGAATACTGCTGTTGTTTTAAAGCAAATGAATGTATGTTCTCATGTGCGTAACTGTACAGATGTCACTACCGATACCATAAAATATAGGAAACATTTAAAAATAAGAATGTAATCTGTGTAGTGGTACACAGCCCATTTTTATGGCCTCAGACATATGATTCCACAGTGCTCTGAGAAACACTCAGAGGAGAAACATCAGGGTGCTTTCATTCAAGGAGAACCTTCACTACTGTAATGAAAGGATGTGGCCTCACCTTGAATTCAGAAGATAAGAAGCCTCTAGTCAAACCTTCATCTCTTCAACTTTACAAGAGACAAAGGGTAAAACAAACAAATAAAAAAAAGTAAGCTAGGCCCTTCAAAGAAGATCCAGTTCCTTCAAGGAAGCGGGCCTAATGCAGCACAAGCCTTACTTGCTCTTGTAATACTTTGGGTAGCTTAAATTTCCTTTGCTGCAGCAACATCTCCTTGTTATGTTCAATGAGGGAGAAGTTCCAGCTAGCTGAAGCTCATTGGCAGTTACTGAATCTCTGATCCTCTTTGCTTCCAGTACTCTGTGCTACAGTTCCTTAACCATGAAACTTACCTGATGTAACTCTCACTAGCAGCTCATAGACTAATTGAGGGCTTGGAGCCAAACCTAGGGAGAAATTTACTTAGTATGTGACTTACTTTTGATGACTATGTACTGAGATTTTACTGGATGTGATCTTACCTGAGGTGAATTTTTCATTTTAAAATGAATTTTCTTGTTGAGATTATGTTGGATGATACTCTGTTACTGTATCTTTCGTGAATGTAATAGGTTCATCAATACTCTGCTTAATGACCTTTCCCCAAAGTAAGTCCTAGGCCATTGCATAAAGAGATGTGTTCATGTGTACTGTGGGACAGCCTGCTTCAGTGGTGTTGCAGTTCCGATAGCAATGGACATTGTTGATGGACACTAGTCAAGGAAGATCAAAAATGATTAAACGATTTCAAGAAGACAGGTCCATGGTTGGTTATCACAGCTCTGAGCAAATGATCTTATGACTAACATAGCTACAACTCCTAAAACTACAATTAAGCCAAAGTAAGTCAGTTAGAGTAGACCCATTGGAATCACTGGAACATATGGAGGCATTGACTCAACAAATCTCCACTGATTCCATGGGCCTACTGAATGCAATCTGCTTCAGTAAGCCTCAAATTTCAGTCTTTGTTACTACTGTTTTTGTTTTCAGTTTCTGTATTAAAATTATATGACACCTTGAGTCTTTCTTGGAAAATAAAATCTAAATAATAAAAAATACCAATAAGAATGAAAATGACCATCGAAGCAGCAGTGGCTGTGCATCAGAGTTCCTTAAACAAAGCTACAACACTCACATACACATGGGCAGAGATTTAAACATAGAACTAAAAGCAATTTCCCTAACAGCCATTCAAAATCAGAAACATGTCTTTAACCACCTCTGTGATCTCTGTGATCTTTGTATTTTTCAACACTCATCCCTGTGTGAATTCCGATAAACCTCTGGCACAATCAGAGATGCAGAGTCTGTCCAAATTAATTGTTGTTAAAGCAAAAAGAGAGCTACGCTGAACCACACAAATGTACATATGCAGACGCACACAAACACATCCCAAACCTTTATAAATTACCTATGAAGTTCCATAAACATTGAATTGTAGCTTTTGGGGAATGGAGAGTTAATTGCAGCTTTAAATGTTTAATCCCTTTAGATACGTTTTCAGTGGACACTCAAAAGGATGCTGATAGTGCTTTTGCGACAGCTTCCTTCCTGTCAAATGGACAGTGCTCCCAGAAATAATAGCCCAGATTCCCCTAAAGAAATCTGCTTCAAATTGATGTTGAGCTGGTCTGGCATCTGAGAAAGAGCTAGGGAAGCCAGTATTAACCCACTAATTGCTCTGGGATACAGAGTTCACAGCTTGTGAGAGGAGGGACATCAACAGAGAGAACTACTAGGTAATAAGAATGACTACATTGGCTGTATCTGGGAATGAAATGCATAGGAGATGAAGGAATGCCACCACCCATATTGTTCAATCTCCTGCACACTCTAGGGCTGATCTGCCTCCCTCCCACTATTTGAACACAGCAGTAAGTGAATTGCAAATTACTGCAGAGTTGTGTGAAATTATCAGAGTTTAATTTTGAAATATACCCCTCCAAACACTGAAACTTATTAGAAAATTCTGCTGCGCCTTTGAATTTTAGCTGCTTATACTTCTGATGCCATTCCTTTGTCATTGTTAACTGTAAGTAAAGAGCTCAGATCTTTTTGAGATGATGATGATTATTTTATAATAATAATAATAATAATAATAATAATAATAATAATAATAATAATAATAATAATAATAATAATAATAATAATAATAATAATAATAATAATAATAATAATAATAATAATAATAATAATAATAATAATAATAATAATAATAATAATAATAATAATAATAATAATAATAATAATAATAATAATAATAATAATAATAATAATAATAATAATAATAATAATAATAATAATAATAATAATAATAATAATAATAATAATAATAATAATAATAATAATAATAATAATAATAATAATAATAATAATAATAATAATAATAATAATAATAATAAAATTTATTGTCATTGTAAGTATATACACAGTATACCATATAGGTATCTTTCTCCCGATAAGGGGACCCAAGGCGACTCACAATATTAAAAAGAACAGAATTATAAGCATAATATAAATAACTGAGCATAGCTTCCCCTCCTTCACATGCCTCCACCCGATTTTATCTTAGAATTGCAGAGCTGGAAGGGATCCTATGGATCATTGAGTCCAGTCCAGGCCAGGGAGGCACAATGAGGAATCAAACTCCCAACCTCTGGCCCTGCAGCCAGGCACCTAAGCCACTAAGCTATCCAGCTGGTGATAAGAACTTAGCAAGCATAAGAAGTAAATAAAGTATTGATGTTAGAATAACTGATACATCATTGCATTTAAAAAAAAACATATTCTTTAGCATTGCTGTAATAGCAGCAGCAAACAAATAGCTAGGAGAAAGGAATGGCAATAAACCAGTTTAACAGAAAGGCAGGATTAGCAAAGAGGAAGACAGAAACATTCTATGGCTTAAAGGGTGGTAAGTTGTAGAGCTTTTGGCACTGGTAACATTCGACTATGCAGTCCAGAAACATTTGTTGAGCTCCAGCTTGACCTGCCCAATTAGGATGACATTTTGGTCAGTGTGATAGAATTGAACCTGGGAGACCAGTATTCAGAGCCTCATCCACATGAAACTTCCAGGGTGACCTTCGGCCAGCCTCGATCTCTCAGACAAAATATGTGGAAAGTGTGTTCTGAGAATAAAACTGGGAGGAGAACCATATGTGCTACCCTGAGGATCTTGGAACAAAAATAAGGGGACAAAAATATAACCAATAATCAGACATCTTCTGCATGTCTTGCTGTTACATTGCATCAGAACACTGCATCATGTAGTGTGATGATGTGTGTAGGCATCCTTCAGTCTCGAGAGACCTTTGATTGTAATGCCATATTTTGGAGAGGTCATTTTAGAGCTCTAATGCACTTGAATCAAACTTTGAACTGAATTTACTTTTAATGCAATTTGCTTACAACTGTAAGACACTGCTCTCTCCACTGGCGCCTGCCTTAAGGCAATCTGTCCTGTAGTCAAGCACCCATGAAAAGTCACTGCCACCTTCATGAAACTCTTCCATCAATACTCCAAGTTTCTCAACTGACATAAAGAGTAGAAGAGTTTACAGCAGGCAAATGAGATCAATTAATTTCTAACACAAACCTAATGAGTGTTTTAGAAGAGGATTTAATGTCTCATTTACACCCTATAGCTATCTTGTTAAATGCCAATTAAGTATCTAAATATTTTTAGCAGCTTAATGAATTACAGTATAATAAGTAATAAGGGATCACTAGTCTTTCCTAATGTGTAAGGAATGTGTTAGCTTCCTTACAAAGCACAAGCACTTTTATTACGATTCTAACCACTGCTTTCAAATGGATTGAAATCAATAGGGATCATGACCATGGAAATAGAAGGTAGGACGTGTAAACTAGGGATGGGGAAACTCATAGGTCTAGGAACTGCACTTGCTCTCATTTTCATACTTCGCCCTGCAAATATTTTTCTTTAATACAGGCTTTGAAAAATCTGGAGAAGTCACAAGGTTTCAAGGATGGGGCATCCTTGATGCCAATTAGGTTCTATTGAGGGCACCTCCCATGGAGTTGCCCACACATGAAGCTTTGTGACTCCCAGGTAACCCTGTGACTCCCAGGGAGCACTGGGACAATTCCTTATTTTTCAAAGGAAAAGCACATATAGATGTATGGAAATCTCCTCTATTGCCTTCTGGGTCTTGGTTTCATATCCCTAAAATTTGTCTGGGGGTTCTATGTGAGTTCTGGGAGTCGGAGTCCAAAAAATTTGCAAGTCCTACTCATATTAGTTTGTCATGCATTTTCATAATGACAAGGCTATATCTGTGACCATATGCCAAGCCAGGGTGGTCCTGAAGCAGGTAATGTGTGGAACCAAAGCCAAAAATAGATGAACTTGCACCATTTCTTTTCTTCTATCGGTTGGAGAATAAAGGGTGTTGGTAAAGGACAGATCACTTTTGCGAAAGCCTGAATCACTTGACAACAGAGAGCTTTTAAAATAAGAACAAGAACCCATATGATCAGGCTGAAGGCTGCAGGACACCCACTCATAGTCTACAGAATGGTTTATAATGCAATCCGTATTAGAAAAATATTCTGATGTTGGTTTGGAAAGGGCTTCCTGAGCTTTTCCTTTCTTGGATGGAACTTAAAGTAGCAGTAGGAACCAATTTAAGGTAAAAAGAAAAATCATGTTTCGCTCACTGCTTTTTGTAGATTCCATAAAGACATCAGTGGTTAGTAAAAGGAAAAATAATAAAAAAGAAGTAAAGATAAAAATAGATTTCTCTTTCAACTACGTGAGCCAGAAATTCCCCACCTTACACAGAGCATTTTACTCAGCTTCCATGCTCTTGGTCATGATGGAATCAACCAACACTGGACAAAGAGCAATAAAGTACAGTAGGGGGGATTGGTTCCAAGGCCCTCCTATTGATGCTGGAAATAATGATCATAGAGAACCCTGTACAGTGGTGCCTCAACTTACGGATGCCCCTACTTATGACCAATTCGACTTACAAACAGCTCTGGCCACAAAATTTTGCTTCGACTTGTGGCCAGAGCTTCAACTTGCAACCAGGAGAGGCAGGGGATAAAGGAGGGAAATTTAAACTGTTGGTGGCAAAAAGGCTGTTAGGGAAAAGGATGCAGTGGTAGCAGTGGACCAGCACCGGGAGGCTGAGCCTCACTGGGATGCTCCGGCCACTCACCTCCCGATGGGCTCCAACAAGGCCGGGAGCGGCCGATGGCGGAAAATTCAAATGTACCAATGACCAGTCAGGAGGCGAGCAGCCGGAGCATCTCAGCCAAGCTCAGGCTCCCTGCGCTGGGCCACCACTGCCACTCCTCGCCGCCCTCTGTGGGCCATAGATACATTTGAATTTCCCACCAACGGCCTATGGAGGGCGGCAAGGAGTGTCGAGGCCCAATGCGGCTGCCCAATGAGCAGCCGCTGGTGCTGGTTCTGGAGCTGGAGGTGGCATTGGGTACCAGCAGCAGTGATGGCGGCATCAGCCCACAGAGGGCAGTGAGGAGCGGAAGCAGTGGCCCAGCACCAGGAAGCGAGCCTGGCCAGGATGCAGTGGCGGTGGCATCGACCCACAGAGGCCATCAGAGGAGGATTGGGTCTGCCTGGTAAGGTAAGGGGCCTTTTTTTGTCTTTAAAAACTGTTTTGGGTCAGTTTTGCGTGGCTGCGGGGGTTGTTTTTTGTTATTGTTGTAGTTTTTTGCA